TGATTTGGTACCACGAACGATGACGTGAATGCTAATGCTAGTTTGCTAACTAGCTAATTTGCGGTTGTCATTTCCGATGAGTGCACAACTGCCGTGTTTGGTTTGAGACAACACTACCCTGTCGAAATTTGTGGACTATTACATCCAGACGGTCCCGGTGTTTCCCAGCTAACGCTCCGCTAGCCGCTCCCAGCTAGCTCCGGTTTGTTATTCAGGTTAAAGTGTGAAGAAGCAGCGGGTCTGTGGGGCAGCTGAGTGAAGTGGAGCCTGAGGAGGAAGCACCGGTTAGCCCCGGTTTCACTACAGGAAGATTCACTAGCTACAGGGGCGAGGAAATAAAACCTGAACAGCCAATCAGAGTGATCTCTCTCACCAACAAGCTCTGCCGCCGATTCAACATGCTCCTGACAGTGCGGGACACACTGCAAAAACTAGGGCAACAGACGCTCACCGACGGCCCGACTTTGGTCGACGGCCGACCGTCGGCTTGATGCGTCAGGGCCTTGAGCAACGAAGTGGAAACATGAGGCTAATTTTTAACAGTTTTTTTTACACACTTTTTTTGTTCATTTGTTTTTTATTTTGATTTCAATGTGACCATGAACTTCAGACTGATTAAAAGTTGTTTTGATTTCACGTTTTTATTCGTATTGAGGGTAAGACAGTTTTCAGTACCTCAGAAAACGCCGCTCTTTTTCACGGCCTGATGTCGGCAGGTATGAAAACCTCACTGTGCAGCAAAGACATGAATCTAAAATCAACACCATAAAATAAACTTCAGGACACTACGGTAAGACTTTCTTCATCTCGTTAACACAGACTTCAAAGTGTGATTAATCACAATTCAAATGTTATATCTTTCAGTCCTGGTTTTGATTATATTTAATATGTTGTGAAATATGGCCTGAACAAATGTTGTAATCTGTGTTATATAAGCGCTGGCTTGCTGAGGTCGAACCTCGCAGATATTTCTCATATTTTGTTGTGATGATTCAGGAGAGTTCCTCGTCCATCAGAGACCTGAAGACAGGAAACTGTCAGTCAGCAACACGTCTGTTACAGCAGCAGAGAAGCCATCCTCCCACATCACAACTCTGTCGCCACAAACAGCACACAGAAACCTAACGTTGCATTCATGGACCAGGCGCATTCACAACAGCAGGTAGACTGTTGAGACCTTCAGAATAAAAGCTGTGGGAGGAAGTACATTTACTCGAGTATAATTTAATACTTTATCTGAGTAAATATTGTCCAGTAATTTATATTATTCTGCATCATGAGAACTTTAACTTGGTAAAATATCTGAGTACTTTAAGCACTGATGATCAGAGGAACATTACATCATACTGATCTGACCAGGTGAGACGGTCCAGGTGAGTCCTCAGTGTGTGTCTCAGCAGGAGGAGGAGACAGACGAGCTTCCTTCACTGTTGGCAGCAGCGTGTTGTTGTGTCCTCCCTCACAGCGCCACACACTGCAGTGTGTCTTCATCACAGCATATGTTGTGTTTATATTTGGAGGCTGATGGATGGTTTGGGGTTGGCACGGCGACAGTTCTGATGACGACCAGGAAGAAGGGAGCACGAGCAGAAGCACAGCGGGGAGCAGAGAGATGGAGGGAAGAGAGCAGGTGGAGAGGACAGGTGCTGAGATGACAGGAAGCTGAGGGGGAGAGGGCAGGAGGCAAGGAGAGGAGAAAAAAATATAAGGAAAGGAAACAAAATAAAGTGAAGAGAGGAAACAAGGAGAAGTGAGGAAGAAACACGAGAGGAGAGCAGGGGGAGAAACCAGGAAGCTGAGGGGGGAGGAAACATGGAGAGGAGAGGACATGAGGAAAGGAGAGGAAGAAATAAGGTGAGAAAAACTTAGAGAAAGGAGAGGAGGAAATGAGAAGAGAGCAGGGAACAAGAGAGGAAAGGAAGTATAAAGGAAAACAAGGAGACGAGAAGAGAGGAGGACATAAAAGAGGAGAGGAAAGGAGAGAAAATGAGGAGAGGAGAGAACAAGTGAGAATAGGAATAAGGAGAAGAGGGGAGGGGGAAAAGGGAAGGAAATAAGGGCAGAAAACAAGGAGAGGAGAACTGGAAAGATGAGAGGGGAGGAAATGAGAGTGAACAAGGAGAGGAGGAAATAAGGACAGGGGGAACCAGGAAAGGAGAGAAGAGGAGGACATAAAAGAGGAGATGGAGAAAGGAAATAAGACAGGAGAGGAAATAAGGGGAGGAAATGAGTGAACAAGGAGAGGTGGGAACAAAAGAGAAAGATGCTGCGTTTGAGGCACCCTGTACAGTGGGAATATTCAGCTCGTTCTCTCAAAGCTGCTCATCAACATCTCTGTATTAACGATAAGTAAATTAATTAAAGGAGTGAATGTTGGACTTTGATCCATCAGGTGACACAAATACGATGATGACGTCATTGTGTGTCAGCAGGATGAAGGAGTAAACAGCTGATCGCTCACATGTTAGAAACATCATGTTTACAGCTGGTGGTGGGTTTACTCTGCCCCCTGGTGGCCACAAACAAAATCACAGACCTGTTTGTGTCATTTCTCACAGAGTTATTCAGACCCTGAACGTCACCTGTGTCATCGAGGCCACTTCAAATAAGGACAAAACTTTTCAGAGTGGACAGGAAGTGAAATGTACGGAAGCTCAGAGGGACCATCAAACAGGAGCTGGGCGCTGGTGACACATTCCAGCTGCCTCCATCTTAATGACACCAACACCTGACAGAGCTGCTGCTTCTTCTTCTGCATCACTGTACTGTCACACTGGTGCCCCCTGGTGCCCCTGAGAGGAACTGCTTCAGTATAGTCCAGTGGTTCCCAACTGGTGGGTTGTGGACTGAAACAGAGGTCGCAGGTCCATTCTGAACAGACCACATGTGACTCAAAAACACGTCAAGTTTCAGTACAGTGAATTTATATGAATTTCCACCACAAGCTTTTATTTTGAAGTGCCATTTCCTGCTGTAAAGTGAGTGACTAACAGACAGCTACTTGACAGAGACAGCAAACCAGCTCCATATGACCAAACACAAGTATGATGCTGAATACATTTAACTGTATGGACCTTGAACTAATCACTAAGGAGAAATCTGGACCCCATGACTGGGCCAGTTGGGAACCACTGGTCTACTGGACTTGTGCAGGATGAGACTTCAGTGACGCCCCGGTGAGAAAGAATCACAAAAAACAATAACATTCGCTTTAAACCACGACCATGAACACGTTTGTGCAGCAGCCAAACACTTTGATGTTTTCATTGACATCTAATTTACACAAAGGAGTGACATCACTCTCCGCTCTAACTCTCATCGAACGAGGAACACAACCAGTGTAATTACACAGATTCATCATCATGCCATGGAAGGAACTGGATAACTGTAACATTCTTATTTTAATATACTCTGTCAGCTCACTGTAGCACCGCCATGTTTGTGTCTCTGAGTGACGTCATGGTGGTAGAATTCTTGGTATGATGTCGAAAAAACATGTCTTTTGTTTTTCTTTTACAAGTTATGCCTTGTGCTCACATCTGTACCGTGAGTGCAAAATGATAAAAAAAATAGTTTTATTTTCTTGTGACCTCAGGTTTTGACCTTTTGCACACAAGATTATAACTTGTAAACAGCAGATAAAATTTGCACACCAGATACATTTGTTTTGCAGCATAATAAGATTGGATTTATTTATACTTTGTGCACAAGTTATGAGCTTGTTCCACGTTACTGCTGACAATCATGAATCTGAGCAAAGTTCCCCACGGTTCGATTCTGGGGCCTCTCTTGTTCAATGAGGACTTCCCTCGTGACTGCATGTTATAACCTTTATGCATGAGACATTTTTGCACACAAAATAACTTGTGTGAACTTTTCTTGCAAGATATTAAAATGTATTTGTATTTTGTGCCCAAGTTATGAGCTTTATGTCCTGAAATAACTTTTGTGAACGGCACAAAAACTTCTGTGCAAAAGAGAACAACTTTTAACCACAGCCGAACGTCTTCTGCTTACAAACAAAACTGCTGCTAACAAGTTATCTTGTGCGCACAAGATATTGAAAATTCCATCTTTCAAAGCCATCTTTTTAAACACCCTTTTAGGGAATAAATCATATATTTGACAGGAGTTCTCCAGGGTTTAATTCTGGGTCCTCTATTGTGCGAGATAATAAGATTGTATTTATTTGTACTTTGTGCCCAAGTTATGAGCTCATTTTTGTACAAGCTCATTTTTGTGAACGGCACAAGAACTTATGTGCAAAAGAGAATCACTTTTAACCACAGCTGAACATCTTTTGCTTACAAACAAAACTGTTTATAACAAGATACCTTGTAAGGATAAGGATAAACTTTATTGTGTGCACAAGATATAAAATGCCATCTTTCAGAACCATCTTTTTGAACACCCTTTTTGGGAATAAGGGTTGGTGCACAGTGCAATAAACTGAAGAGTAGCAAAATGAACTTACAGACTAACACTGGTAACTGTTAGAAATATATTATATTCTCTGCAGTTGAGATTCCAAGATGCAAACAAGTTATCTTGTGTGCACAATATATAAAATACCATCTTTCAGAGCTTTGTTTTTGAACCCCTTTTAGAGAATTAGTGCTATGATCAAGGACACTTTGCCACTGACAATAATAAATCTGAGCGGAGTTCCCCAGGGTTCGATTGTGGGTCCTCCATCGTTCGACACAGACTACCTATGGGCCAAATTCTGACGGATAATATGATTGCTAATCACAAATTTGAGGATGACACCCATACTGTTTTACTTCTGTATTGAACCACATACTTATCGTAGAGCAAATAAATAACTTTATTTAATTAAAGTTTGTTGTTTGTTTTTTTTTTGTTAAAAGACAACACGGCTGAAATTACAGGAAAGACCTGAAGTTGCTTGGTTTGACTAAAGGTCCAGAATTATTTACACCTAAGAGCCAAAATGAAGAAAAGACTTACAATAACTCACTGAGGACAAACAGGGACAGTTCTGGTTAAAAGACTTTATGATGATTCTACTGTACAGTGAAATATAGTGGAGAACCTTCATAGACGGTGGAGGAGCTGCCATCTGAAGGGTTAACCCATCCAAGTCAACATTGCATAAAGAAATCCATCATCAGAACGAAGCAGAGCAGCAAAGATACAGAAAATAAAACTCACAGTCCAAAGGTTCTGAACAAACAAGAGACAGGAGTAAGGTCAAAGGTCATGGAGCTCAGAAGAACAACACATTGATTACATTTCCACCGAGCAGGAGTGTGTGTGTGGCACTTTGATGGTGTGTGTATGTGTGTGTATAAGTGTGTGTTCTTGTGGGATTCAGTGGAGGGTTTAGTGTCCCATGTGTGTCGCCGTTAAAACCAGTTTCAACAGAACTTTAGTGTCTTTTTGTCTTAATGCTACATAATGTGTGTGTGTGTGTGTCTGTGTGTGCACGTGTGTGTACCTGTGGTGTGTGTATTTTCACTAATTGCACTTGAGGATGAGGAGATGGAGATCACATTACCGGTCAGATGTCTGCAGGGGTTTTTGGCATTTTTCTGGAAATGTTTGAGATGGTTGAAACACACAAAGAAAACAAAAACAGGGAGCGACTCTCCTTCAACTCAACCAGCTCAGGACCAACTACAACTCCCATGATGCCTCAACACACTCAAAGCCACAAGGCAGCCAAAACTGTTTAATGCCAATAATACGTTTAATTTTCCTTAATGCAGTTTTGCTCTGCGGTCAGGTGGGAGCTAGCCTGTAGCACCGCTTATTTGGCAATTACCTCTGCTAACCAGGAAAGCACTGCTGCAAAAACACTGTGCCCACCCTTCACTGGTCCCCCAGGTCCCCCCCAGTGGGAGAGTGGCTTCATTTTGAGCTGCAAAACCACTTTAGCATTGCTAATTGTCTTGGCACCACAAGGCGTGCTGACACTAACAGTGCTAACTGACCTTGCCAAAGGGGGGTTTGCAGCTCAAAATTGAGCTGCTTACTCACAGGGGCGACCTAGAGGGAGTCTGGAGGGTGGCCATACTGTTTCCACAGCAATGCTGTTGGGTTGAGATGGCGTTACTTGTGGTAATCGCTGCGCTGCTAGCAAGCTCCCACCAGACCTGGGTGGAAAAACTGACATACAGACTGACATATACAACTATTTAAAAAAACATATAATATTCTCAAAGGTTAACTGTCGAGATTCCTGGTTGCAAACAAGTTATCTTGTGTGACAACAAGTTTATGGTTGTTAAATAATAGAGGAGAAACTGGTGGTAGTGGTTGCTGGTTGTAACAGGCAGAACAGGCTTTCACGGCGTATGTGGAGGTGGAAAGTCCATGACCAAACGTGGACATGTGACGAGGTAGGAGTGAGGATGTGTTGGACAGACTGGATAAAATCCATGTCCTGAGCTGGTTGTATTGAAGCGGAGTCGAACCCTTGACTTAAAGTAAAAACACAAATAAAGCAGCTGAAGAGGAATCGTTATAAAACATGAGGTGGAACGTACAGACACAGTGAAGCTTATTGAAACGATCAAGTCGGATCAAAACAACGAAAACTTAACAAAGTGACAGGAAGAAGTGGAAAGAAGATGCCAGTGATATCATGGCTAAAGGAATATTCTGTGACACGTTACCTGACGATGGTCATAATGCAGCAGTATCATCGTGTACGTGGTGCCGATCCACCGCTTTAACACACACATTTAAAACGTGCAGTACGACCGTTCCTCAGCAGTGTCACCTGTCTACTGATATGATACATCATTTCACAATCAGGACGAACACGACGTCCACCATCGAGAGGAAAAGTGGTGATTTGTTTTTTTACATTCTGTGCAAAATTAGACGAAAAGTAGTCCACATATCATCTTCATCATCATCTTCGTCAGTCTGTTTATCTGTCTACACATCAGTGTTCAGTCAGTATTCTTCTATTTACAGTTAGTTTCTAAGACGTTAGTACAGTCATCCCCCAGCAGGACTAAGACATTCCTCAGAGGGACACAATCCACCTTCAGACAGAACTCTGCTGTCTTTACTCCTGGGTCTGAGACTCCTGTACGTGCCATTTGGCATCCCCAACTCCTGAATGTGTATACAATCTTATGAAGTACAGTCTTGTTCAACAATCGTGCTGCTGTTCGAGGTCTGGTGTGAAGTCGTGATCGACACTGAGACGTTGAAGACGTTTGTGTAGTGTAAAAGAGCAAAGTGAGTTTCAGACGTTTTATAAATTTGTGTAAAAAAACAAAACAACAAAAAAAGATCAGCGTTTAGCTCGTTTCCATTTTAAATCTTTTTATAAAAATCTCCTAATTCTGACTGTATCTGAGAAACTAGCCCTTTATTATGACAACCTCTCATGACTCTAAAAAACCTTCTCATTACTACAAGAGTTTTTACTTTACTTAATTATGAGAAATTAGTACAGATAAATTATGATATGAGTCTACTGAATTATTATGATTACAATAATGGGCTTGCACAGAATATTTTATCACATCTTGTAGTCAAGACTTCATATCAGGTGCACAATTATGACAGAGATACTCGGAGAGTCATCAGAGATATTTAATTTTGAGGGAACCTTTCTCATCAATCTGGCCGGGTATTAAAACAACAATAATGGGCTTGCATATGGGACAATACTTCATGATACAATGTATCTTATAAGAAAGCCTCCTAATTTATTTCTTAAAGCAATTATCACATAAGTTATAATCATGTGAGGAAAAGCAAAGTTTTTGACCCCCTGGGAGTCGAGCTTTTGTTTGGTATGCATTTTTAATTTCTCCGAGCTATGTGTGATTATGAAGTCCTGATGCAAATAAAAAACTAAGTGCTGTGTTTGAACAGACAGTAGTTTTTGAAAAAAAAGTCCTTATATGGGGACAATGGGTTAATTTGTAATAGTCACATACATATAAGTCTTACTTCCTGTTGCCAGCAGGTGACTCAGTGACTAAAACACCTATTTATCAGGTTAATGTCATCAGGCCAAGAGTCTTATCAAACATGTAAAATTTGGGGCAGATTGGCTGTACACTCAGTTTATCAGTAAATCTAAGAATCAAACTTGTCAATTCCTGTTGCCAGTAGGTGGCACTATGACTATAGCTCCTTTTCAGCAAATAGATGTCATGAGGCCAGGTCTCTTATTGGGCATGACAAATCTGGAGCAGACTGGACAATGTATGCTCAAGTTACAACAACTTCCTGTTTTATAGCGAAAAGTGCAAAATGTCCGCCGCGCCACGGCAATGGCGTGTGATGGAAAGTCGCGATTTTCACCAGAAAGCATCATCAAGCTCTAGAGACTTTTCAAAAGAAATTTGAGGTGGACCTGGCCAACCTGCTTGGAGAAGTACATCCAAGTATAAAACATGTTATTTTCTGTCGCCAGGTGGTGGCATGTGAAGTTTGGGGCAGATTGGACCACTTGCCTTGGAGTTACAAACCACTTACTGTTTCATGGTCAAACATGGAAATTTGGTGCCCCGCCACGGTCACACAGTTTCATGGAAAGTCAAGCTTTTAACAACTTTTGATGTCGAAGATCTTCAGCTGGTGCAGACAAAATTTGAAGTCGATCAGATCAAATCTCTTGGAGATCTTTAAAATAAGCCCCCTGGAAATGGCCAAAATGCACAAAATTTAACAGTAAATTCAAAATGGCTGACTTCCTATTGGGTTAGGGGTCTGGCTCCAAGTGACTTTTTTGCACATCTTTACATGATACACGTGCACACCAAATTTCATACATGAAGGTGAAACGTATTTTGCCATTTTGTCACACTTTAACAAGAGACCCATAAAATATTGAATTTTTAAGTCAGTTCTGTGTTCAGTGTGCAAAGTGTCGTAGGTTTTCAAACACCTTAAGCTCCTTAAAAAATACGATTCATTTAAGAGAAAAATAATAATAACGTCAGTTTCCACAGGGTCCAAAGAATGCAACATATTTTTAAGCCTTTAGTAACTCTGTATAAATTTTCTACGCTCCATTCTTCAAGCTAGGAATGCCCTTTGTATCTGCAGGAACGGTCTGTAACACCCGATTAGCCTGTGTGAAATGCTGCGATGATACAATAAAGCCCCAATGTCCTCAAATGAGTACTTTCTAATGCCTTAGCTTGGTACTGCTGCTAAAATTGGTCATGTTTGTACATTATTAATCAGAATTAGTTTCAACCGTAATATCTGGTCACATTTTGGTCCTTGTCCACTTTTGTGTCGGGATCGGCTGCAGACTGACTTGGCAGAGATGACTGTCATCTTGTTTTTACATGGATTAGTGTATTGTGCTTTTGCGACCATTAGATGGCACAAAAAATGTCCACAAACGAGAACAACAGGTCCGAGTTCAGCAGAATGAAGTGTAAGGTGCAGCAAACCCAAAATCTAATGTCCTCATCATGTGACACAGGGTCGCATGATGAGCTTCCATAGTGAGAAAATCAAAATTATAAGATATGAAACTGAATTTCTGCGATCAAAAGTTTGTAACAACTTTGCTCGAACATTTAATCTTCTACTGAGTATTTTTGCATGTCTTTTATCAGCTCCAGCTTCACATAATATGTAATCTGAGTTTTCATGGCAATGACTGGCTACATATTATAAAGTGAAAACGTCACCTTCATGTTACCTGATAAACAGGCTTCATGTCTGACCTGTAACTTGATCAGCGAAGTTTACTTTAATCATGCATCTGTGACGTTTTCAGGAGTTGTTGGTTTCGTCTCATTTCCAGGATCCCTGATAATTAAACAACCGAAACATTGGAACAGCAGTTCCGTCGTAAAGGTGGATTATCGCCTCGTCCTTCATCTTTAAAAACAACCTGCTGCTATTCAGCTGTCTATTTAAAAGGCATTCAGCAGGTAAAAAACACAGGGCACACAGTGAAAGAGGAGGGAAGAGGGGAAGGGGAATAGAAAAATAAAAATTAAAAAATTAAAAAATTGTGGCAGACACTACTAGACGATCACCTCACTTCACTCTGTGGCAGAGAAACATAAAAAATGTAAAAAATAAAGTTTCAGAGGAGGCAGGGCACCAGGCGAGGAGGAGGAAGGCAGAGAGACAGAGGAGGAAGAGGTCTGGGAGAATGTTTCTCCGTCTCAGAAGAACTTGTCGTCGATGCGGAAGTGCGGTCGTGTGACGTCGTCTGGGTTGATGAAGACCGAGATGGACTTCCCAGGATTCTCTGTGACCAGCTGCTGAAGCTTCTTGGCCAGCCGGTCGTCTGGCTGGTTCTCTCCGCCGGCATCTGACTGCGGCGACGGCAGGTTGTTAGCACTGCCTCGCCACTGCAGTTCCACCGTCAGCCTGTTGGCGGCCTTGGCGTGCTCGATGGTGGTGCGGAGGTGCTCAGCCGGGTCGGAACGCACCGAGCAGAGTTTGCGGGCGTGCAGCATGGCCGTTTCGTCCGACAGGTGCTCCAACATATTGCACTGGGGAATAAAGTAATTAGGACACATCTTGTTGACGAGGCAGTGCTGCAAGTCGTCAATCAGGCCCAACAGGAAGTGGGCGGAGAAGTCATCCTGGCCCAGGTAGTTGGCAGGGAGACGGTCGCAGGCCCACAGCATGATGCTGCGGAGGTGGTAGGGGCTGATGGCTTTGGGGCGAGACAGCAGCTTGATGATGATGGCTTTACAGGCCTGATACGCCTGCATCAGGCTGGACGAGATGCACTTCTTCAGCTGCACCTCGCTGCGAGCGAACGACAGGCGCCACTCGTTCTCCTTGCGGCCTTTGTAGGAGCAGGCAGGGACGAGGTAGAAGCCGCTGATCACCTCCTCCTCCGTGATCTTCCCATCCCAGAAGTGATTCTCCATCAGCCAGCTCTGAGCAACGGCCGGCCAACCTTTGAACGACACCACGGGGACGATGTCGTAGAGCATCCGGCTGCTCCCGACGCCCAGGATGACGGAGATGATGGTGCCATTCCTCTCCACCTTCTCCACTCTCGGCATCCCTCTCTGAGGCTTCTTCTGCACCTCCAGCAGCACCAGGGAGATGGACTGGTAGAACCAGTCAGCCACCAGTGTTGGAGAGAAGAAGTAGTTGGTGGTCCCGTTGATATGGTCGACAATGGTGCAGCAGTCCTTCCACTTGTTGATGGTTCCTTCGTCAAAGAGGCGGAGGCTGAGCCAGGAATGGCCCAGAGCCGAGTGCCTCATGTCCAGGGTCACCGGCTGGTTGCGGTCATGAAGTTTCAGCGCTGGGACCAGCAGGGTGAAGTCCATGTCGTAATCTGTGCCACGGGCGTAGACGCTTAGCTCATCCAGGTCCATGTCCACCACACCCTCCCGAACGCCTCCTGACAGGAGGAGGTACTCGTTGGCCACCGGGAGCTTCTGGTCCAACTTTTGAACCATTCCTAAGAGAGAGGAGGAAAGACAGGATGAGTTAAAGAAATGTGATACCACACTGAATCCAAATATAGACACAACAGAGCACGCAATGTGTCTTATCGTCGATGACTTTTGGGATCGTCTAAAAGTTTCTGAAACCCCGCCCCCCCACAGCTTTCCGATACCACTTTTATAACTCTGCGAAAATATAAACTTGGCAATCACAGATACTTTGCACAGGTGAGACAGTTAGCTAGCTTTTTCGTGTGAACAACCAATTGCAACACCATGAATGTCTACGAGAAAAGACTGAAAATGTGCTTCATTGTCCGAATTTGTATGAATCATCTGTCTTGTCCCTGAAAGCGGGGTTTTCGCCCCACCTTTAGGAGTGGCCTTTCGGAACAGTGCTTTTGCCTTTGGACATAATCAGACCACACTTCGGACAAGCAAAGTAAATCTTTCATAGATCTTAACAACCATTGACCAACTGTGAACATCGTGACAGAGCTAACCTTTGAGGAAACAGAGAGCCACAATGTTGAAAATGGAGGAAGCTATTGTGTTCCAAGGCTATCACATGTTACCAGTTCGTTCGCCAACCACAATACTTTGCCAAGTAGCCCCACAAGTACTCATTACTTCACCAAACTTTTAGCACCAATGAGCTCAAGATCCAAAAGCCAATTTTACACCTCCTGTTTAAGGGGCTGAAGTTGCACCGTCATTACCCTGCTTCATTTTATATAAAAAGTGTGCACACAGAGTGGGGGGACAGAGTTGTTCCACCTCTAAGCCAGCAGTGGAAGAAGTAATGGTGCCAAATCTAGGTCTGTGTAAAAGTGTGAGTTCGCAGGACATTTTGTGGATGTGTTATGTGTGCGACCCACTACCGGCAAATTTAAGACACAGGTATCAGCAGTTAGCAGCTAACTCGTAGAGAAAGCACAGTCAGTGAAATTGTCCACAAACTGGGGAGACAATGAGGTCTGGGAGCTCCAGGTCTGGGATGAGTTTAACCGCTATGTAACAGGGACAGTAAATTCATGTTCTACATTCGATTTATGTTATTGTTGTTGTTTGGAAAGTGCTGCCCAATGTGTATTTCATATGTCTTACTAGAGGATGATGCCATTGTGTTAGATGCCACGCCTGTCTCTTGCTTCTGAGGCAACTTTTTATTCATTGGATCAAAATGTGATATATCGTTATATGTATCGTTATCGGGATATGAAATGACCTATATCGTGATATAAGACTTTGGTCATATCGCCCAGCCCTAGCTGAGTACTGTAATAAAATATGGTGCGATTTATTACCTTTTTTCAAATGTGAATTATTTCCCCAAAGGAAAACTTTTTCAACATCTGTTCTATCTAATAAGATCAAGTTTCTTCAGCCATTTTGCAGCAGAAGCAGCAAATTGTATCTAGTAGGGGTGGGGAAAAAATTGATATAACATAGTACCACAATATTTTGCGTGGCGATATTGTGTCGTTACACAGATGCCAAGTATCGATCTTTTATAATATACATTATTCATTGTTGCAAATACACATTTTGATACAACTATTGGTTCTAGAATAATAAAATCAGTTGCTTTTTCTGTCCACTAGATGGTGCTGATGTTTTTTCCTGGTGAGGTCAGCAGAGGTCTCAGTCAGCAGCATTTGGCAGGAATTCATCAAAACAAAGATGGAGGATTTTATTACATTTTTTCAACTGTAAATTATGTCACTAAAGGAAAACTTTGTCAACATAAACAGTTTTGTCAAATAAAATAAAGTTTTCAGTCTGTTCATCTCACTTCAGTCATTTTTATTGCAGCCAAATGTATCTAATAAACTTTACAGGGAACTGATTATATTATTCTAGTAGGCTACTAAAAGTTTAATTTGTGTTTGTAATATTAATAATTTATATTATTAAAAATCAATGCTTGGTGTCCATGTGACAGTACAATATTCCCACACAAAAATATTGTGATACTTTGCTGTATCGATGCTTTACCCTGCCCCTATTGTGTGTAGGGTTTGGGTATCATTTGTACTTTTTGACATACAATACAGTATCTGAGCTTCAGTACCAAAACCAAAATACCTTTCTTAACCTTACCTTGAGGAATATGAATATGTTTTTCTACAAAACCGATTTTTGATCAAAAGCCAAAGAAGTCTGATGTTAAATGTCACAAATCAAGCAGCTGTACAAGAACTCTGAATGAATGAGATACAGGTCAAAGAACGAGCCAAGAAGATTAGAACCAAACACTTGACGACACCTTGCAGCACTTCACATTTTTGACACTGTGCCCATGGACACATTTAAAAAAAAAAAAAAATTGAGATGTGACACCCAGATGTACCTCTGAGTGGGATGTGTATCAAAAGACATGAAGCTGTGCGACACCCCCACTGTTTCCCTTCAGGGTCAAAAACTGACCCTGAAGAGTCTGGACTGCATCAGACCGGACAGGTTATTGTTGGACTGGATCGGTCTGGACTGGTTTTCCGCTCTGCTGGGTGAAAAGACACACACACTTCCTGGCTGATGGCTGCATTCCTGTGCTGTAGTGGGGTGGACACACAGTTTGTTTGGTGGTTTCTCAGAGACAGTTTGAACTGAAAGATCACGGACAGAACTGGGTTCAGGTTTTGTGTTGCAGTGTGAGCTGACCTGCAGCAGTACAATAATCCATCACCGCTGCACATTAGAGGCACAATAAACGGGCCTGTGCTGAAATCTAGTTCTAGGTAAGTCTGTCAGCTTCACATTCCTGCTCATTTTCTCCCAATAATAGGAATTAGGCTGATTCAGCTCTGTTGGAAGGCGGGTTTGAAACAAACAAACAAAAAACAACTGGAACCAAATTCTGTAAAGGGATGAAAGAGGTCAAACTCCTGGTCTCCAGAGCTGGTGTTGCCCCCACCCTGCTGTATGGAGCCCAGTCTTGGACCACCTACAGCAGGCACCTGAGAGCACTGGAACAATACCACTACAGACTGGAAGACAAATGCACCAACATCAGCGCTCTAGAAGAAGCCAACATGACCAGTATCACCACTACAATAATGCAGCACAAACTTTGATAGACAGGCCACATCATATGAATGGCCGACACAACAAACAGATCCTGTACTGATTCTGTCCCAGCTGAAGCGAGGTCAGTCAAAAAAACGCTTCAAGGACATCATCAAAACTAATCTAAAAAAAAAAATCTAGGAGCACACTGCACTTGATTGGCACTCCTGGAAGACATCTTTACAGGAAGGTGCTGCACATCACGAAAAGGAAGTCCACTGTGCTGCAGAGATACAGCAACAACACCGCAAGGAGAAACTACCACCACATTTCTCTGCTCAAACTGCACCAAAGTATGTGGACCGCAGATCCGCCTCTGCAGCGATCTGACGAGCCACAAGTAGACAACCCATCATGGAGGACACTCATACTCGCCTCAAATGACTGCCGATGATGATAAAAGAAGCAGCAGTGCCATTAAGGTCTCCAAATGACAGGTCGACCAATGGTGGATTAGTCACGGTTGCTATAACAACGATAGTTGGGAGCAGGGAAAAACGATAGCTGATTAATCATCTCAAGGCAACTGACTCAAACGCAACTGGACTTGGTTTTGTCTTAGAAGACGTTTGACCTCTTATCCAAGAGGCTTCATCAGTTCATGCTTGTCTGACTAGGCTGGAACTAGTCTGACAAACTGGTGTGGAAAAACCCAGGTATTTAACCTCTGGGGAGGTCTTCACAAGGTCAATGATGTCACTGGTTTGTTAGTGCTCCAATGGTGCGTCAGTGACGGTCGTTGAAACTCCTGCTGCAACGGTGGTTGTTGGACTCGTTACGGCCAATTTCCGCCAGATGCGTGTTGGTTGCGTCTGCGCTCCGGCACGGCAGCGGAGCCGACAGGATTCCATTCTAGTCAATGTGTGAGCTTCCACCGGCTACGTCTCCGTCACAGCTGCGGCGCTCCGGAGCCCTCCGCAACAGATACGCAGGACTTCTATTTTTGCCGGACGCCGGAGCACAACGCAGCAATTCAGCACAGAGCAGATTGTGCGGGGCAGGAAGTCGTGCACAGAGACACAATAAAACAAATTAATTTAATTTAAATTAATTTTCAAAATAAAATACACAGTGTTCACGGCGGATCATATTTTCCTGCACTACACCTACAAAACTACATAATGGGCGGAGGCAGGCCTGAAGTCAACAGGTCAGAGGTTTTCAGACGTCATTTCACCCCATTGACACCATGGACGAGGAGATATTAATCATGGCAGTGCACCGAGATGTCTTCCGGCGGAGCTGCACCGCACCGCACAGCAAACGCAGCTGGTGGGTATTGACGGACGGCGGAGCATGCAGCAGATAACCAGCGCTGCCGTTCCGCAACGGACACGCATCCAGTGGAATTCCAGCGTTAGAGTCACATGAGGCCATTTGTTAACAACTATTGTTTTTAGAGGTTAAGCTGTTAAGTCTCCTGGGCAAGGATGAAAGGACAGCATTATAGGTGGGGGATAGGTGGTGTCGCAGACCTCCTCTTCTGTTGAGAGATGGTTTTTCCAATTTCACATAGATGGCTTCTTTTACACCTCTTTGAAACCATCGGTCTTCCCTGTCCAAAATGTGCATGTTGCTGTCTTCAAAGGAGTGTGCTTTCTCCTTGAGGTGTAGATAGACAGCTGAGTCTTGCCCTGACGAGTTCGCCCTTCTATGTTGGGCCATGCGTTTGTTTAGTGTTGTTTTGTTTCACCAATGTACAAGTCTGGGCATTCCTCACTGCATTGGACAGCGTACACCAGGTTGCTCTTCTGAGTGTGTGGTGTACGGTCTTTTGGGTGTACCAGTCTTTGTCTGAGTGTGTTACTGGGTTTGAAATACACAGGGATGCGGTGTTTGTTGAAGATCCTCCTGAGTGAAGAGTTTTTCAGACACATAGAGGGTGACAATGTTATTGCGTTTGTTCCTCCACTCCACCTCCTGATGTCACAGTCAGCTCAGAACCTCTGTCACTGTTTGCAGAAATGTACAATGACAAAATGTTCCTCTGGTGACTGGGCTGAATAAAACATGTACATCATTGTTACAGCTGTCTAATAATACCCTTGTGGAGAGTCTCTCTTTATTGGCCCCTGACATCTCAAACGTTGATCTCATTGGACAGCAGCAGAAGAAGCAGAAGAGTCTGCTCCAGTTTAAAAGACAAGTTTGGCACTACAGCACAAATAAACCAGGAGGAATGAGGGTTCACAGAGGAACTTGCCATCTGTTCTTATTCCCACTGTCTTTTTTGTTTGTTTCTGTTGATTTGTGTCCAACGATGCAACAAAAGTGTCACATTATTTAAATCTTAAACCGACACCCTGAGGTTTCTATCAGGGACGTCTTCACTGAGAATCTGAGTCACAGTCATTAAGGAAACAGACAGAAATCATCTTCAGTTTTTGATCAAATATTTGCTTCATGACCGACCGCCTGTCTGATAAAGTGGACAAACAACACCTGTGAAAACATCAGGGACGTTTGTTGGTCTCTGCCTGGACATTTTGGACACTGCTGACAGGATGTGACACGTCCATTCACAGTGTGACAGTTTCAGGAGAATCTGATTTGCATTTGAAACAAGACGAATCATTCTGCTCTGCTGTCAAGAAATGTTGCTTTAATGACTAAAATTAACCGTGCGGCTCAGTCAGACGGACAGACGGACTATTTTCAGCATCGTAATGAACCTCAGTGACAGGAAGTGTTTTCACTGATCTCACACCCCATGTTTCCTCTTCCTCTCACACTGATCCTGATCAATAAACACAACTCATCAGTGTTGTTAAAAAGGTTTTATTGAAGCAGAGCAGAGTGACCTCACTCTGTCAGAACACTCTTCATCAGTAACTCAGCGGGACGAGTCGGTGGTGACTAATCTGATTTTTAAAATCTGCAGTGAGGAGGGTCATCTTTAAGTTCAATTTATCAGCAGTAAAATCAGGAGGCGTCGCGATGCGTTTAAGGTACCGTCTTCTTCCAGGCATTGGCACAAGCGCGAGTTACGTTCTGAAACTTTTAGCCTTTCACCGTTAGCAACACCTGCTGAGGTCAGTCTGCTGTGAGTCAGTCACGCTGTAGGGAGAACATATAAAATGGCGGAGCTTGAAGACCCGCCTGCAGGTTCCTGCTCAGCTACAACAGCAACCAGAGGGAGAGGTGTGTATAAAGGTCCAGACATAGGCTCCGCCTCCGCTGCCGCCACTTCAAAATGCTCAGTCAAAGACAGCCTGGGATAAAATTGTGACAGTGTCAGATATTTGGGATGACCATCTCACTGTGTGACTGCTGTTACCACCTACGTCTACTGACCAACCAATAGAAATGCAGCATGAAGTGACGCACTGATCAGCGCTAAACCCAAACACACAGACTGACAGCAGCTCGCCATGGAGGTAAAGAGGGAAACCTTGTGGAGCCTTGTGATGTGTCCTCCAGCTCTGACCATGATCGCGTGAAGAAGGACGAAGCATGGAAGGAAGTAGAGGCGGAGCTACAGCTGCCAGGTGAGACACCTAGCAGCTAGCCAACACACACACACAGACACACACACCGCAGTATATAGTGACCACAGGACTTTTGGTTATTTTCAGACATTTTATTAACATTTTTTGAACTTTTTAAGAATATTTTTTTGACAATTTATCACAATTTTTCGAACATTTTAGTATAATTTTTTTGAGACATTTTTATAGATATTTTTCAGACATTTCAGTAACATGTTTTCGACACTTTGATAATGTTTTTTTTCTATCATTTTATTATCATTTTATCATCAAATATTTTTCAGACATTAGATTAACATTTTGAGACACTGTAATAATGTTTTTACTGACTATTTTTATCAATATTTTTCGAACATTTTCTTCAAACAATTTAATAAAGTTTTTACATATTATTAACATAACATATTATCAGCATTCTTTCTGTCATTTTTTGATATTTTTCAAATATTTTTTGGACAATTTATCACCCTTCCGTCAAACATTTATTAACATTTTTTTTAAAATATTCTTCAGACATTTCCTGAACATTTTTTGGACATTTTAACAATGTTTTTTTTCCTGACATTTTATCAACATTTTTTAGAACTTTTTTTCCTGGCATTTAATAATATTTTTTGGATATATTATCAGCGTTCTTTCTGTCTTTTTTTTGATATTTTCCAGGTGTTTTATTAACATTTTTTGGACATTATTAAAATATTTTTTGGACAATTTATCACAATTTTTTCGAACATTTATCATCAGTTTTTGGGACATTTATATAGATATTTTTCAGAAATTTCAGTAACATGTTTTGGACATTTTAATAAAAAAAATAATTCTGACATTTTATTAACATTTTTTGAACATTTTTTAAAATGTTTTTTGGACACTTTATTACCATTTTTCAAACATTTTATTATAATTTTATCATCAAATATTTTTCAGACATTAGATTAACATTTTGAGACATTGTAATGATGTTTTTATTGACATTTTATCAACATTTTCTCAACATTTTTCAAACATATTTTTGGACAAATCAGCATTCATTCTGTCATTTTTTGATATTTTTCAGGTATTTTATTAACATTTTTTGGACATTTTAAAAATATTTTTTTGGACAATTTATCACCCTTTTGTTGAACCTGTATTATCATTTTTTGGGACATTTTTATAGATATTTTTCAGACGTTTCAGTAACATGTTTTGAACATATTTTTAAAATATTTTCTGGACACTTTATTACCATTTTATCATCAAATGTTTTTCAGGCATTAGATTAACATTTTGAGACATTTTAATGATGCTTTTTCTGACATTTTATCAACATTTTCCGAACATTTTTTTTCCTAGACAATTTAATTTTTTTCAGGTTTTTTATTAACATTTTTTTGGACATTTTTAAAATGTTTTTCAGACATTTCCTTAACATTTTAATCAAGTTTTTTCCTGACATTTTATCAACATTTTAACTTAATAATATTTTTCAGACATATTATCAGCATTCTTTCTGTCATTTAATTAAGATGTTTGAAAATACATTGAGAGCGAATGGGGGGAAGGACCACATTTAATTCCAGGGCAGCGAGATTGGAAATAGGACAGTGGCATCAAATGGCGTGGGGAGGCGTGTCCAGGAGCACCGATGACACGTGTAGTCGCCGCTAGTGTGGAGTCATTCATTAAAATAACAGGGGCATATTTTGTGACCCATGAAGGCATGTGAGGAGTCATGAACTGAGGGCGACACTAAACTAACTGATACACAGACGGTCAATTTGAGGGTGAAGTGTTCCTTTAATGTTTGAATTAATGACCGCTGCATAGTTTTAATATTTCTTTATTTACACTTTGTATTAATAATCTGTGAAGTGATGAAGGCGCTCACGTGACTGTGTAAAAAATAAAGAGTACAATCTTTAAGTACATGGTAGCATAAAGTGGAGATACTCGAGTAAAGCACAAAGACCTCAGGATTACACTCGAGTATCGTTACATTCACTGTGATGTTGAGCCCTTGAACGCATCACAGTGATGCTCACCTGAGCTGAACGCAGGTGGAGCAGCCTCCGGTACCGGGAGACAAACAACCTCATCCCGGGGTTTAAACCGTTTAAAGTCACACACACACACACACACACACACACACACACACACACACACACACACCAACATGAAAACACCACCCTGTGTGTATGTGTGTGTGAGCAGGTGGAGTCCGGGGCTTCAGGGCGGGCATCCCTCCTCCACCACCAGCTCCACCTCACCGGGGAGAAAACAACACGGTACACGGTGACGCGACCGCGGCCGTTAGATAACGGTTCCTCACCCAGCATGGAGAAGATGAAGTCCTTGGCCGTGTGGATCTCCAGAGCCCGCTGGTCGTCGTACTCCCGCTGGTCGTGCTTACTGAACTCCTGGATGAGCCGGTTCAGGTCCTCCATGCGGGCCGCCGACCTGAAGTCCAGCTCGGGCCCGACGCCTCCTCCTCCTCCGCCGCCGCCGCCGCCGCTGTGCGGGAGCCTCCCGGCGGCCATGGTGGGGCTGTTCCCGAGGCTGCCCGCCGAGCCAGCCCGACTGGAGAGAGCAGGGGCCGCCATCTTTCCTCCGCGGTCACACACACACACACTCACACACACGGGTTCTCCACAGCTGATACACTGCTGGTCTGTTCTGAGCCGAGCCGAGCCGAGCCACACCAAACACAACCACCGGAAACAGCCGACACACTTCCGCTGCTCAGCGCCTTCAAAATAAAAGTAACGCTGAGGACACAGGAAGTTGTCAGTGTGTCTGAGTTTATTTATTTTAATAAATCAAATTAATACAACAAAAACCAGCGGGGTAAAGTAAGGAACTGTTATTTATTTACTTATTTAAATAGATGATTGTCTGCTCTGTGTCATTATTATATTATTATGTTTATTTATGAGGGGGTGCAAAAAGGAGGAGACATGTTAAATTATTGTTTTGAACTCAAAGCAGGGGCGTACACATTCAAATACTTGTATTTTATTTCTATTTTACAGCAGATTTTAAAAGAAAACAATTTTTCCTCCATATTTTATAATAATTATAATAATAATGACTTTATTTGTTTGCTTTATGCGTGCATCAAAATGACTAATATTATTCTTACAATGAATGTGTTTTTAGGGACAGACACACAGTTTAGACTCAGTTTAATGATAAATATGTCATAATGATCAAGTGAAGGAAATGATTAAGATATACGTGTGATATTTTAGTTACAAGGTGAAAAAATAGATTAAAAGAGTGAAAAAGACAGAGAAAAACAATATTTGTTTTTCCTTTTTTAAGTATATCAACTTTTTTTTCACACTTTATGCTCACATAAAACACAATCTCAAATTTCCACTTTGATAACACTGATTTTTCTCTGCAGGACAAAACGGTTTAATAGCTTGTAAACAATTTAATTCTGATGACAAAATATTATTTATATTTATATTTTTAAACTCCAGATCTCCTCCTGTTGTTTTAAAAATCCTCAATACATATTACCAGTAAGAAACTGCATTTAAAAGTATTCCTTTTCTCACTCTTTAATGAGACACTTTATCCTACTTTAAAATAATTACTTTTTTTTTTTTTTTTTCCAGTATCTGTGGCGGTTCTGTTCTATAAAACATTTGGGGCTGAAGCCTCAGATGCTCAGGCCTGATAACACCACCGTGAGAAAGTGTTAATAAAAAATTAAAACATTGTTCATGTTACTTTTGTCCGAAAAAATGGACTGAACTCTGTAACACGTGTGTAAAATGTATTTGTGAACAAGAAAACAAAAACAATACTTTTCTGCTTTGAAAGCAAAAATAAAAATAAGATAAATTACTTGAAAAAAAGTAAGTGTGAAATATTTTTTAAATAATTGCGTCTTATTTAATTATTTATTCTATTCCAGCATTTATATTTAGCTCACTCAGAGAACAATGTAATGTTAATATATGTTAATTCTATTTTTTTATATTTTTTAAAAATATTGTTGCATGAACATTTTTCTCTTGCATGATTCTTATTTCTAATTTCTCTACGCCTGTTAACAGTGTTAGAGCAACTGTAATGTGTCCTAACTTCCCCTCCAGTGATCAATAAAGTATTTCTGATTTCTGAATGTTATTGATTTATAAATGCAAATGGAATTTTAAAAATGTTGTAGGTTATTTTTTGTAGCAGTGAAACACGAGGCCACACATTTAAAACAGCTGCTGGAAATGTCTCTTTAAAAACACATCTAATGTATTATTATTATTACATCTGCTGTTAATGAATAAATACAAACAAATAATAAAAACTTAAGTTTAAGTGAAATTAAATTCAAACTACAGTAAATTAAAATAAAGTTGCTCCTTCACAATAAAAGCATTGTCATAGTTGGAGACTTTAAATGAGTCAAAAAACAGCCGTCGGTGATCTGATGAGTTTTATTGTCATTAAAAGCTGATTCCTGTACAGACAGAGATTCATTTCATACATCCACATTTGCAAGAGACAGAATTTAAAAATGGAAAATAAAAGCAGAGGTGATGTGTGTTTGCTGCCCTCCGGTGGTCGGAGTGTTGACAGGAAGTGAGCGGTTGAATGTGCCTTCACACCTGCTGCAGAGTCTAAATATGAAATATGACATTTTCATATGAATGACAGAGTGTCCGGTGACGTCGCTCATCAGCACATGAAAACTCTGCAGAAACAAAAGTTGATTTTTATGGAGAGATGAGAAGTAATCAATAACAATCAGATGGTTTGAAAACAATCAGCAGGAAATTAAACATCATGTTTGTAGTTCTGGAGCTAAAAGACATAAAAGCATTAAATGTGGAAATGCAGAATAAACCATTAAAATATGTCAACGTTGTGTCAGCAGAGCGAGGCGTCTCTCTTCAGTCTCTACGTCTACACTGTTGGTTTAACTCTTTAAATCAGCAACAACATGTTCTACAGTCGATATTATTGTATCACCAAAAGAACTAATATTTATCTCCCACATATTTAATAAACCTCATCACACCAAAGAGCTCCGACTATAATCACTCAGATCATCGTTAGTACCTTTGATTTTTTTCTTTTATCGTGTGCAACAATAAAACAAACTCTCCAGTTTCTGTGTCCACGGATTATAAATTGAACTTTCCTATAAGAACGTAAATGAGATTCTCTGAAACCCCCAAAATAATCCTGAATTTCATCCAGACCTGGATTAAAGTGTGAGACCCTGAGGTCACCTGACCCCCAGCTGCAGTCTTTCACTCTGCTTCAGTCTCTGTCCCGCTCTCTGTCCCTTAATGAATGTGCTCCTGTCCCAGAGTCCACAGCAGCACGCAGAGAGGATGGCTTTTCTTTTATTGATCCTCTACGAGGCGTGTTCCAGCTCAAAGTCCACGAGTCCTACAGGAACTCTTTGTCCTGATGCAGCTGCAGGTCCCAAATCACACGAGACGTTTGAGTCCAAACAAATGATTTTCCATCCTACGAAGAAGCAGCTCAGTTGCCAGAAGGTAACGTTGGCATTGTGCGTTTCTGCAAACCACGAATACATGACACGTGTCGCATACACATCTTATCAACGATTCTAAAGTGACGTGCTTTATGAGCTGAATCTGTCATCGGGAGATTGAGGGGATGATGGATGGCGTGACTCCCAGGAGAGACGCTAAGATGCCTACCACTGTTCAAGACCGGTTGTTTTTTAGCAACCCATCATTGTGTTTCCAAAAGTGGTTCTTTCTAACCAAGACATTGTTGTGTTTCATGGTGTGTTAGCGCCACAAAGAGGTGTTGTTTCAAACCGAGACATAGCTGCATTACATGGCAGGATAGCAGCGCAAAAAGCAGTTGTTTCTAACCAAGACATCGCTGCATTTCGTGCCGTGATGGCGCAACAAAAAGCGTCCGTTTCTAATGAGACATTGCTGTGTTTTGTGGCAAAATAGCACCAAAAAAAGTGGTCATTTCTAACCAAGACATCACTGCATTTTGTGCCAGGATAGCGCCAAACAAAGCGGTCATCCCTAATCAAGACGTCCCTGTGTTTCCTGTTGGGATAGCGCCACAAAAAGTGATTGTTCCTAATCAAGACGTTGCAACATTTCGTTCCGAAATAGAGCTAAGGACAGAAGTTACCTCTAACGGCGCCACCACTGCGCTTCATGTCGGGATAGTACCACAAAAAGTGGCTGTTTCTAATTGAGACGTTGCTGCGTTTCAAGGTGGGACAGCGCCAAAAAAAGTGGTTGTTTCCTATGAGTCATTGCTGTTTCCTGCCAGGATATCACCACAAAAAAGCAGTTGTTTCTTACCGAGACATTGTCGTGTTTCGTGCCAAGATAGCAGCACAAAAAGCGGTTGTTTTTTAACCAAGACGTTGCTGCATTTCTTGCCGCAATAGCGCCAAAAAAAGTGATTGTTTCTAATGAGACATCACTGCATTTTGTGCCAGGATAGCGCCAAAAAAAAGGATTGTTCCTAATCAAGACATCACTGCATTTCGTTCCGAGATAGCGCTAAAGAAAGAAGTTGTCTCTAACGGAGCCACCGCTGCGCTTCATATCGGGATAGTACCACATAAAGTGGTTGTTTGTAATTGAGACGTTGCTGCGTGCCACAAAAAGTGGGTAACACCTGATCTTTTTCTGACCATAAGTGTTTTTGGTTTCTGAAACAAACCACACATGAACCACAGCGCTGTTGAAATGTAAAGTTTTAAAGTATCGACCACATAATAATGTATAAATGTAATGTTTCCGTGGTTTGCAGAAACGTACAGTGCCAACATTTCTTTGCTGACGAGGTTAAAACAACACAAAAAGTGCGTCTGAATTTTTCTGATATAAAATCATTTTGTTGTGCTTCAGTAAAGAGAACTGATTTTTATCTTCACTGGAAGAGAGTTTAATTATCTTGCTAATAATCCTCCCATCCTCCGTCTACACCCACTCAGCTTTGTGTTCAGTCCTCTCAGCATCATCACTCCTCGTCCACCAGGGACGTCTGTCTGTTCCTTTTCCCTCCTGTGGGACAGTTTTCCTCTCAGAGCTCAGAAAGTAAAAGTGTCAAAGCTGCACTTCACACAGTTTTTCATGAAACTGAAATCAAAAGAGTCGAAATGATTAGAAGTTGGTCTGATATTAGTCTCAAAGTCTCCGCTGGACAAACGTCTCCCGAGTCTCCTGCAGAGAAACAATCTTTGTAGTGTCTCTGGTGGATTCGTGTGAAGCAGCAGCCTGATGGAAACATTCAGTCAGCGACAGCTCGGGTGAAAATAATCAGGACTCTGTTGAAAATAGAAAAAGTTTCTATTAATACTTGGTGATAAAAACCAGCCCAGCAGACAGCAGGTCCGTCTGACTCCGGTGCTGTCGGTCGGCGGTTCAGAGGACATCGTCAGGGTTTTCCTGAACGGGCGTCCTGGTCTTGCGTGGTCGCGGTCGCAGCGTGCTGAAGCAGGACGAGGCGGTGAGGGCGATGCGGCTCAGGCCCACGTTCAGGCAGTGGACCTCAGAGGTGACGGGCACCTCAGAGAAGAGGGCGCGGTCTCGGGTCAGCCGGGCCGAGCTGACGCCACCACCACTGCCACCGCCGGCGGCGTCGCTGCTCTCGATGTCTTTCACGATGTTGAGGATCTCCTGACGCTCCGCCTGCCGAGTCATCCCCCGTATGTTCAAAATGGCCGACACGTGCTTCTTCCTGGACACGAAGAGAAGAAACATGTGGTGAGAGCGTTTAATGGCGTTTGTGCCAAACAAAGAATGTGAAATACATTTTATAAAAATATATGTTTACATGTCTGTTAACAGAGATGTGTCACAGTGTGGAGGAAAATATAATCCATACAGCTATCAGGAGAACAATAACGAGAGCACACACACACACACACACACACACACACACACTCAGAGGCTCAGTGGGTTAAAGGTGACATTTCAGAGCAGCCACGTAACGATCACAGAGGAAGGAAAGTGTTTATGTATTTAGTTTCTCACACGCCTCTGTATGGTCCCTGAACGCACCACAAAGAAAGAAGGAAAAGAGGAAGAAGATGGAGAAGAAGAAAAGTAAGACAGGAGGAGATGACGACGAAGAGGAAGAATGAAAAGAAGAAGACAACGAAGAAGATGATGATGACGATGACAGAGGGGATGAAGAAGAAGACGATGATGAAGAAGATGAAGAAGACAACAGAAAAAGACGACAAAGGAGACGACGATGAAGAACAAGAAAAAGAATAAAAATAATGATGAAGACGAAGACAGCAAAGAAGAAGATGAAGAGGAGGAAGAAGGCATCAAAGAAGAAGACGACAAAGAATGAAGATGAAATCGAGAGGATGACGAAGGAGATGAAAAAGAAGACTTCAAAGATGACGAAAAAGCAGAAGGAAAAGATGAAGAAGAAGAAGACGATGATGACAAACACAAATAAGCAGTGGTGCGTTTGATTTGGCCGCACCTGACGTCTGGAAACTCTCGGACCAGAACGCCGACCTCCATTTGGATGGAGGGGACGTCCTCCAGCTGGATGATCTCTGAGATGTGGGACAGGGCGTTGTCCAACCAGCTGGACGGAGACTCCTGAAAGACAGACAGACAGACAGACAGACAGGATCATGAACCACTGAGCTGTAACTGAAACACTAAAGCCTCTGAGGGGCACCAGGTCATTGACCTTTGACCTCGAACACTGACCAGATCTTTGAAGAGGACTTTGATCTGTTTGCCTTCCTCTCTGAGCCGGCTGGCCATCCTCTTCCTCATCTTCATGGAGGTGCAGATGATTCTGCCTCGCATGACCGAGCGCAGGTACTCCATCACCACCCGCCGGTGCACCTCCGCCACCAGCAGCTGACGGAGACACAGAGAGCGGGGGAGGGTTCGTTCAATATCTAATACGTTTGATTAATATAGTAATAATAATAATCCACATACGTGTGGCCATGTAGAGTGTGTGTGTACCTGGTAGGGAGGACTGTCCATCCTGTGATACTTCTTAAAGTCTTCTTTGATGACGGCTTCGATCTGCTCGTACGCCTCCGTGTTGCTCAGCCACTTCCTCTTCACCAGGCGCTCGAAGAACGGCTGACAGACGCACACACCAGATTATAGATTATTAAACTTTACACCATTTTAACTGTGACTGTGTGATATGTGGTGATGTCATCTGTAAAACACTCTGGATTTCATTGTTTTAAAAAGTGAGACACAAACTGTCTAAACTCAACTGTCTGTGAGTGTGTGTGTGTGTGTGTGTGTGTGTGTTGTCCGGCTGTTGACTCTGAGTGTTTCGACAAACACTCGAGGAATAAATGAAAGTTAAAAATTAAATTGAATTGAGAAAGCTTTATTGATACAGAGACAACAGAGGAGTGGCCTCCACACAACTCAGAGAAAAGAGACCAGAGGACAAACACTCGACTCGAGTGCCGACAGTCACAGGTCACAGTCATAAAGATACTGACTTATTGCTGGCATGTTTCTGTGTATTCATGAGTGTGTGTGTGTGTGTGTGTGTGGTTCAGTGTGTGTATTAGTACCCTGATGTGCAGGTAGAGCCGTTCAGACAGGACTCTGATTCCCTGCTGGACGATGTGATCCAGAGCTTTATTGGCTCGACGCAGAGAGTCCTCGCTGACCGACGGGTCACACTGAGCACAGCGCTGCACAAACCCTCTGTACACACACATACACACACACATTACTAAACGGGGACCATGATCACACACCACCAAGTGAGGACAGTCTACAAACAAATAAAATGTGGAATGAAACTAAAGTTGAGAATTAATAACGTCATTAATTAAGTGCGGGGACATCGTTAATGTCACAGGTCAGCGGTGGTTCAGCTCAGTGATTCTGATTAATTTGGGAACAACAAAGTAACAGGAGCTTTGACTGCAGAGAGCAGGTCAAGATCATGGTCTCAAACTTCACAATACTTAAGAGTGACAGAGTTAAATCGGAAAACAAAAACTGACGATGAAATGAAAAATGAAGCACAACAGTAAAATGTAAAGTATGTTGGAGACAGCATCTCGTATGAAGGGGATAACGTCACATACAAAGAGATAACATGTTCTGTGAAGCTCATTAGTTGATGCAGTGACAGTTGATTTCCTGTTTGTACCTGAATGGAGGGCAGCAGTTGACCAGAGCGATGGTTTTGGACACATATCCGTCCTCGTTGTCTCCAAACATGCCGAACTGCATCCCTTCATGAAACATCTCTGCTTTACGCTGGAAGCTGAAACAGTTACACGCACGAGTGTCAGAATTCTGATCAGTAAGTAACCTCTCTGAAGCCACGAAACAGAAGATCATAAAGTTCATACGTGCACCTGTACAGGAAGTCAGCCAGGCCGTTGAGGCTGCACTGAGCCACTCTGGAGCCCAAACTGCTGTTGATGGAGGCCGAACGCTCCAGATCGACCTGCAGCCTCTGAGACAACAAACACAAAGTCAGGATCATTTCTTTTGTAGATATATTTATTCATTTTGTAACTCTGAAAAGAGACAGAATTTTGTGCACAGAACACAGAAACTGCAGGAGCCTTAAAAAACCACAGAGGTGAGAACTAACTTCACGTTTTAACCCATTAAACACAAATATTATCACACTGACATCCTCATGTTATTTTAAAGTCAAATAAACTGTCCTCATATGAGGCCATCGTGTTTTGAAAAAACTACTTCCTGTTCAAAGATAATGTTTAGTTTCTTATACTTATCGGGTCCTACTGATCCCAAATAGTGAGGAGAAATGAAAAATGCATACCAAACTAAAGTTCGTGTCTCAGGAGGTTAAATGGAAATCATCACAGCAATACATTGCTTGATTCAGATCTTCTGGATTCAGTGTGTTTTAATTAATTTTTCAGGGTTTGTGAAGCTTCTGGCACATTCAAGGACACTGTGTCCTTTTCACTGGACCTTTAAACTGTCCTGTGTGAGCTTGTTCTTGTTGTAATACTTCTTTAAACCACCAGAGGGCGCCAGCTGGTTCAATGAATGATGTTATTGTGTGTGTGTGTGTGTGTGTGTGTGTGTGTGTGTGTGTAAAATCAGGAAGTGCTCGATGTTGACTTTGGCTTCAGTTAAAGGAAACACTCAGAAAACAATCAGCACTGAAAACACAGGGGAATCCACCTTTATGTAACACTTCACTCTTGATTCAATAACCTTTATTTAAAACAGGCAGGAAACACTGATCAGTGCTGCCGGGTGGTCAGCTCACACACACACACACACACATATACCTGCTGTAACCATGGTAACATAGGAGGAGGAAGGTGTGTCCTGTACCTGTATGACGGTCTTGGCCAGAGTGATCTGATACTCCTCGATGTGCAGCGTCTCCATCCATCGTTTCTCCTCCTCGTCCAGGACCTGAGTCAGCTCTGTGGTCACTTTAGCCTGCACGCAGAGGGAGGAGCCGGGGGTCAAAAGAAACGCAACTTCATCTTTAACCACAAGCTGCAGGAAAGTTCACAAGTTTTAAAGACAACTTCCAACCCTACAGGAAGCCGTGACCCCCGAACATTTCACCTCATGTTAATCCTCATGGACAAGCTGTCCTCTTGGAGACAAATAAATGAGGCAGATACATTTCATTCAGCTCTGCATTTTCCTCAGATCAATATTTTGGCGTCACTCAGATGTCCTTATTCAACTTGTTCAACTTAAGGGACACTTTTACTACTTGGACTTTAACTTTGTCAAACCTGAACTGTTGGTCATGTCTCCTCAGATGGACAGAAACAACTGTGAGCTTTCTCCTCGTCATCTCTTTTGTTTTGTTTTGAATAAAGTAGCCCTGTCCGCCAGAAAAATGTTGGCATTGTAAGTTTCTGCAAACCACCAACATGTCACATTTGTACATTTCGTAAGTATCGTAACAAGGTTTCCAAAGTGATGTAGTGTGTGAGTGATCCAGCAACTTTTTATACACCAGACGTCTGTGTTTTTAAGTGACCATCACTTTTTTCCAGCGGGGACAGTGGCATGAAAAATGGCCATATTTTACAGACATGGCTGTGACCCCAACACTGGGTATTTAAGCCAAAACATGATCTTTGTGCCTAAATCTAACTACACATTAACCACAGCCTTGTTCAACGTATCTGCTGCATAATAGCGGGTGAATGTGACATATCTGTGCTTTGCAGAAATGTATGATGCCAATTTTTTTTGGGATGAAATACAGTTGAGTGTCTCACCCTGACAGAGTTGAGACAGTCCAGCTCCAGTCTGTCCACAGTCTCCGCAGGCAGCAGAGGACTCAGCTGAGCGCGGCTGAATGGACTCGTGATGCACACCGTCCCCAGAACGTCTCTGAAACACACACACACACACACACACACACACACAGTGAACATGATGTGTGAACAAACACAAACTCACACAGGAACTCCTCCAGAGGAACAACAACTTTTATAAGAGACCAATCCTGTGAATCCACCGGAGGAATCAGGAGCTAAATACAGTTCCTGTAGGACAGTTTCAGGTGTGAAAGACGTCCTGGCTCCATCGGTCAAACACAGATGTCACTTTTGTATTCAGCTAGTTTTAACACAGGGACAAGTTACAGAAATTTGTTGTAGTTTGTTTACTGTCGGCTTCCTGACAAAAACTAGAGCTGTACTCCACCAGGCGGTAACCTCTGGGGATGAATAATGAAGGTAATGCAGCCAATATCATGATATCACATAATACTGTAAATAGGGCTGACCCAAAAATGCAAAGCTTCGAAGCTTCGTTCGATGGCACGGGATTCGATTGTGAAAAACAAAATTCGAATATTCTGCCTTATTTTTCTCCCCTTTTTTTTGGGGGGACCTTGAACGCGACACTAACCCCGCCACTCTGCTACTTTTTGTTTGTGCAATTTTAATCATGCAGTCCGTTTACGGTTGTTTTTTTTCCCCTTTAGACACATGTGAACTCAAAGAACGAGAAGCAATGTCTGTTGGGCATGTAAGATTTCATGTTCCAGTTCCAGTTTGTGTTTTTAATTGGATTGTTTTTGGTTGGTTGACAAATAAAGGCCGGCCCCATTAGGCCGAGTAAAGAAGTCATCTGGTCTGATTGTTGCATGAATTGCCTAAAAAAGTTTCACAGTAAATCAGAGAACAGAGATATTATTATTGCCACGGGCTGTTTGAAATGGACAAAGGTATTCTTTACTGATGAGTTAAGGGAGAAGAGCTATCATGTAATTAAAAAAGAAAACATCTCCGACAAGGAAATAGAAAGCCCGACGTGCAATGAATGGAGACCTATTATCCTGCTTGAACACAGACGACTAAATTCTTTCAACAATGTGACTCAAAATAATGATAAAATAGATTTTATTGATGTAAAATAATATGCTGATGGTGACATTTTCCACCAGTCCGCTGCGCTCTGAGTCTGGTGTCAGTGACACATGCTGCTCTGAGTCGCTTATCTGTCTGCTTGCGCTGCAGTGCACGCCGAGGGTTTTCATTTTTAGTGTGAAATCAAAAGTTAAACACTACTTATCAGCAACCAGAAGTGTTTTTTTGTTTGTGAATATTTTTACCTTAATTCTAGGGTTGCAAGAAACTACCTTTTCACCATAATTTTTAAGTTATTAACTTTTTTGGACTTTTTTTTTCCGCTCAGACAAGCATTCACGCTCACATTCACACCTACGGACCATTTAGAGTCACCAATTAACCTGCATGTCTTTGGACTGTGGGAGGAAGCTGGAGCACCTGGAGGAAACCCACACTGGAACTCCAAACATAGGGGCTCCCCCAGCTGAGGGTTCAAACCAGGAATGCTCTTGCTTTGAGGCAACAATGCCAACAAAAGTATTTTGAGCTTGAACTGCAAAAGCATTATCGCCTCCATGAAGTCATTTAGACCTTAGAACAACAAGAAAAGATGCATCAGAGGATCTCAGAATGCGGGCGGGACAATAAGGGCAATAAAAGATCTGTTATATAACTTGGAGTGAGGCCTCTCAGGGCTTTGTAAGTAATCAATAGAACTTTAAATTCAATTCAAAAAGCAACAGATCACCAGCATAGAGAGGCCAGGATCAGTGTGAAGTGGTCATGTTTTGTAGTCTGAGTCAAGATTCTGGGGCTGGAGGCGGCAGGGGATTTTTTACTGATGCCAGAGAGCGAGGAACTACAATAATCCAATCCACTGGTTATGATGCATGAATAACAGTTTCCAGATGTTTGTTAGAAAAGAATTATCTGATCCTGGGAATATTTCTGAGATGGTGGAGGCCAGACTGAACCACTGGATTTACATGTTTGTCTAAACTGAGGGTTTGATCAAAAATGACTCAGCGTGGAGTTATTGATTGGGACAGAGAACCAAGACTGTTTAACATATGAACATTCGTCCTATGATCAACATCTCTGTCTGATCAGCATCAAGCTGCAACAAATTTTGTAACATCCATATGTGAACGTCACACAGGCAGTTTAGCAGGTTAACAGCATTTTGTTTTAGTTAGTTGTTGGATCACAGCGTAAATAGATCTGAGTATCATCTGCATTCAAATGGAAACTGATATCATGTATAAGATGGCCAAGAGGGAGCATGTAAATTGAAAAGAGAATTGGACCTAGCACTGACCCCTGGGGCACCCCGCAGTGGACATCTGTTGTACCAGGCGTCGGCACAGCTGCTGTTTGTTTCAGTATCACCTCATGTTTGTTGTTAAGTTTGCTTAATATTCAGGTGTCAGTGCACGTAGCAAACTTCATAAACCTTTATGTTCGGCCACTGATGTCCTGGCGACACGTTGCTCTTTGAGAGACGGGGAAACACAAACAGGAAGTCACAAGAGAAACTTTTCGTTCCTCAGTTCCTGGAACCTTCTGTGTGAATATGTGTGTGTACCTCTTGTAGATGTTGTGCAGCCAGTCCAGCAGGGAGTAGATGTCAGTGATCTCCAGCTGGTTGTCAGTGATGGCCTCCAGTCGCCTAGCAACCGCCTGGTGGTAGCTCTGCACGTACACCTGACAGGTCACAGGGTTAAAGGTCAGACCTTAGTACATCCTAAGAGGAAACTCTGAGTTAGATACTTTGAACTCTGCCACAGAAATGGAATAATAAACCGGCTATAATATCTGCTCAGGATTATTATCATATATTTATTGGTATCATTGTGTAATTAACCCTTTGAACTCCGCGGTACAAAAAAGGATCATGCAAACAATGATCTCCTATTATGGGAAATTCCTGGAGAAATTCTGGCACATTTAAGGTGAAATACTTTGTCTGCATGTGACATGAGGTGAGGTAACATAAGGTAATGACAAGATGACGGGGGAAACAGAAATCTTGGCTTTCTGCTGCAAAAAGTATGAATGTTCTACCTGTTGTTGTTTTTATTCCAGATCAATATATATCCAGGATCATGCAAACAACAATCTCTCGTGGCCATAACGGGGATTACCAGCATATTACAGCGAAATACCATGTTTGCAACTGCATGTAAGGTAATGTGAGGTCATGATGTGACCTCTGCAACAAACAGAATGAATGTTCTCTTTATTATGGTTTTTATTTTAGACGTATTTAACCCTTTGAAACTTGAAGCGCCGTCACTTTTCTTGTGCTGCATTCAGACGCCTTTTGCAATTATCTAAACAGGATCATGCAAACAACATCTCCAGCGAGTGTCTGCAGGGTGTCAGCTTTTAAAAGGTTAAGATCCTCTGTGAAAACACCCCTCGGTTTTCCTGCCCAGGTGTTGTCTCACCTGGAAGGGCTGGTAGTCTTCAGGGTAGATGGACACCACGTTCCTCTTGGCGGCCCCCAGGTCCTCCACCACCCGAGCTCGGAGCCGGTCCAGGTACTTGTCCAGCTCTCCAGCTGTGAACTCGGCCCTCTGAGGCAAAGAGCCGTCAGCCGCCTCGTCCACCGCCTCCCTCCACCTCTGCTTCAGACGGCGGGGCCTCGGGCCCCCGAGGGCCGCAGCCTCACTTACGGCCCAGTTTTTGTCCACCTGCTCCTCTTGCTGCAGCACCTGCAAACGGACAGACAGACGGGTCACCTAAAGACCTGTTACCCAGTAAATACACAAGTAACTTTACTTGAGTAAAAGATTTTGTTCCCCATCCCCACTGTTACCACGACTGTTGCCATGGTAACAGCAGTCCTCACCTGCACCACCAGGCCCAGGTTTGGCCCGGCCGTCGGGGACCTCAGAGACTCCCTGACAACGGCCCACAGCTCCTTCTGCAGCTCCTCGTACAGCAGCTCCACGTCCTTCGCCTTCCTCCGCCCGCCGTCTTTGACGCTGGGGCTGGTGGTGTCCTCCGGCTGCGGCCCGGCAGCACGCTCGGCCGCCAAGGACTCGTTACACTCCTGCTCCAGCTCCAGGATGTGTGTGTCGGCCAACAGCAGGTCCCGCTTTTTCACCAGCTGCAGGATCTCCAGGACTGAAGGAGAAGGGGAGACGTACGACATCAGAGATTACAACTCTGTACATTTTCTGTACGATAGAGTTTGATGTGTCGTGTTAATACTTTGACTTCAGTAGATCTGAACACTTGTTACGTGTTTTCACTGCAGTTCTTTTCTCAGAGTCTTTAAAGGCTAGATACTCCACAATGAGCCCTCTTTATTCTGACTGATTAGCATTAACAGCTGTTCATCAAGTCCCAGAGGTGAACATCAGCACCCACAACACACACACACACACACACACACACACACACACACACACACACACACACTGATCTGCGTAGGTTCGTTTGATTTGAACATCAAAGCAGCCCTGAGGGAGACAGACAGAGGGACCGAGGTTCCCACAGAATCACTGATCAGTTTCTGCTCGACTCTCAAACACTGAGAGACTTCAGGAGGTTTCAGCACATTTATATTCCAGACATTTAACTGACTGATAATCCTCCTCGTCCTCGCTGAGAAATATCTGTAAACATCTGTAATAAGTATTGTAAACTCCATAAAGTGAACACATGCCGCACACACTGGTCCCTGTGCTTTGGTATGGAGGTTTGAAAATAAAGTCACGCTGCTGACGGGGAAAGGGCTGAAATGTAAGTCGAGGGTATCTGGCTGTAAATCGGTGGTTACATTTTTTTTTTTTTTTTGAGCTAAGAACCCACCGCAAAATGATTTGTTTCACTATCAGAGTTTGATCCGTTCAGTCCAATAACATTTCAGAAGTCTAGAAGAGCCACAGTTTTTTAATCCCCATTCAAGTTAGCGGGGTGCTAAACAGGAAGTAGCCTGCTGTACGGGCCCAATGACGCAGAAGCAGCGCTGATCAAGTGCATGACTTTGTGTCTCCCCTTCCCCTTGAAATATGACGTTAAAACATGATGATGTCACAATCAAGCTGACCTTTGACCTTTTGACCTTCATTATTTTATCCTGTTAGACATTTGTGTGAAGCTTTGTCATAATTATTGAATGAATTCTGCAGTTATGGCCAAAAAAATGTTTTGTGAGGTCACACTGACCTTGTAGATGTTTTTACCGAATTCATAGAAATATCACGTTCACAAGAATAGGACATGGGTCGTACGTTCAACCCAAAAATCAGCTGTGACCTTTTCTCTGTTGCCTCTGAGGTGTTGGTTGTTGTCCACGCGGGATAACAGTCGTCCTGCCTGACGCCCATTTTCATCTCTTCCTATGTCTGTGGGGTCGGGCTGATGTCATGTCACCTCTCATTCTCTGTCAGGATTATTTTCACCCACATGTTCGAAACTTCAACACTGAATTCTAACTTTGTTTATTCTGCAGTTCACCAACAAGAACAGAGGAAGATGTGTTTTTATCCCACGACGAAGACGAAGACGAACACTGACTTTTCTCACACACATCAGCAGGGTGTCGATGGGAACCTGTCAGTCCGCCCTGAGGGACAAACAGCCCACAGACAGCGTACGCCATCAGGGACTGTCGAGCTGCTCTGAGGTCAGTCAGGGAGGATCCTCGCTGACTGACAGCTGATGATGTCACAGCAGCAGAGCGGGGACTTCTCACTGCGATGACATCATCAAGACTGACAGAAGAGTCTCAACTAATTACAGCGACAACTTTTCTTCATATTCATCACCTTCAGTGGTGCAGCGTCACTAAATACATTTACTCAAGTACCAGTTCTGAGGTGCCTGGACTTTACTTGAGTCTGTTCTTTCTTTTATTCATAGTTTTACTGCAGTTAAGTCTGTAAAGATTTCCTCCACCTCTGCTGGGTTTAAAGAAGAACAAAAACACAACTGTAATAAATGAAGTTTACACAAAGTCAAACCAGAAACAGACGCAGGATAATCAGAGCGGAAATATGACTCAGTTATTCATCACTTCATAATACTGCTGCAGCCCGATAATACACACTGTCACTGCAGGAAGTACACACACACACACACACACTGTTGGACAGGAAGTGAAATCTCCTGCTCCAACTGCTGCGTCAGAGGAGATGGCTTCTCCGGGGCTACTCTTTCAAAATAAGAGCGAGGATGTGAGGCATCCAGATGTTGCCTTGTTGGTCCACCTCAGTGGCGACAGAGGAAGACACACACACACACACACACACACACACACAGTGGCAGCCCAGAGGAAGATCATGTCTATAAACAGAGGAATGTGACAGGAACATCTCGGCTTGTTGCTCTTTCATGTTCCTGGTTTGGTTCCTGCGGCAGCGTTGGGCTCAGAGGTCAGAGGTCAGAGAAGCCTCAACACATGCTCACAGGTCAGCGTCAGGTGAGCTGCTGGAGTTTCCTGTAAACTGTCAGGAAGTGTGTGTTGATCCTTCTCTACCTGTGGACTCTGGTTCCCACGCCGTCAGCTGTCTGACTGAGTTTCCTCTCACACACAGACTCACTCTTTACTGTAAACTGCTCTTTGTTGTGAGGATGATCTCATTTGTGTTGTCGACTCTCTGCAGAGTTCAAACTTGTTCATTCACACGGCGGACGCAGCGGTTAATTTGCACCTTCTGGATAATCTTTATTTTTTGTTTACCAGTCCACCCTGTGGTTGTATGACTCCGCCCACCAGTCCACCCTGTGGTTGTATGACTCCGCCCACCAGTCCACCCTGTGGTTGTATGACTCCGCCCACCAGTCCAGTGTCTCTGACAGTCTCCAACCATGTCAGTGAAAACATGGATGCTTCACACACAGAAGATCTATACAATCAGCACAGTTTCAAGATTAGAGTCACCAATTCAGTATCTAACCAAATGTCTCCCCTTCTGTTCCTGAAATATGACGTTAGAACATGATGATGTCACAGTCAAGCTGACCTTTGACCTTCTGACCTTCATTATTTTATCCTGTTAGACATTTGTGTGAAGTTTTGTCAGAATTAGTGAATGAATGTTTAAGTTATGGCCAAAAGCACGTTTTGTGAGGTCACAGTGAACTTTGACCTTCAACCATGAAGATAAGTTCAGTCCAAGTGGACCTTTGTGTCAAATTTAAAGAAATTCTGTTCTTGAGATTCACACTCACAAGAATGAAATGGATGCAAGGTCACAGTGACCTTGACCCTTTAAAACCAAAATCTGATCAGATCGTTGCGGAGTCTAAGAGGACGTTTTTGCCAAATTTGAAGAAATTTCCTCAAGACATTCTAGAAATATCATGTTGGTAAGAATGAGACAAAAAAGGTCACAGTGACCTTGACTTTTGACCCTCAAATTCCAATCAATCCATTCTCAGTTTGGGGCAAATTTGAAAAAAATCCCTCAAGGCATTCTGGAGTTTTCACATTCACAAAATGAGATGGATGCAAGGTCACAGGGACCTTTGACCTTTGGTCACCAAACTCCCATCAGTTTATTCTTCAGTCCAAGTGGATGTTCGTTCCAAAATTGAAGAAACTCTCTCAAGGCGTTTGGGAGAATGAAATGGACCCAAGGTCACAGTGACCTTGACCTTTGACCACCAAATTGTAATCAGTTCATCTTTGACTTAAAGTGGACGTCTGTGCCAAATTTGAAAAACAAATCCCTCAAGGCGTTCTGGATATGTCACAATCACAAAATGAGATGGACGTGAGATCATAGTGACCTTTGACCAGCAAAATCTACTCACTTCACTGCTGAGTCAAACATGTTTGTGCAAAATTTGAAAAAAATCCCTCTAGGTGTTTTTTTCAGAATTCAGCCTCGTACAGTCGTCATGAATGTTGGAATTATCTCCAGAGACCAAAACTGTTTTTGTACCAGACTGTAAACATGTTAACATGGAGGTCTGTGGGGACTGACTCACTGTAGGAGCCAGCCTCTAGTGGACATTAGAGGAACTGCAGGTTTTAGCACTTCAGCGTCGGCTTCATTTCTCAGCCCTGAATGCTGCCACTTGGTCCAGACTGTCAGTTACATAGTGGAGGTTTGTTTTAATGAGACCAGTGGACACACACACACACACACACACACACACACACACACACAGAGTCAGGGTGTGACCACTGTAAAGTGATATATCAGCACTTTGAGCACCTTTAAACCAGACGACACTGGAGCTTGTAAAACACAGCTATAACAACACACACACACACACACACACACACACATATGTAGACCCTATATGTCATGTAGAAAATGTCCACACACACACACACACACCGCACCTACCACCCATATACATGGTGTGCCCCTCCACACAGAAACACAGCTCTTATTGTTCACCTTCAGCTTTAGAGGAAATCTGTTCCAGCTGGAAGAAGCCCCACCCACCTCCGCCCTTCTCCTCATACCAACATATAATGGCTGCAGGACAGTTTTTAAAGTCCTGGAATAAATCTGTTACCGGAACATTATTAAAGCTGGGGAAGGCGATTTGATTTGGACGTCACTGAGGCAGAAATCCCATAATAACCTCTGAGCATATTATAACTGGACTTCTGCTCCTCCTCTTGTTTTCAGGAGACTTTGTCCAATCACAAGTCATTTCAGAGAGAGGGGATTCCTATTGGCCGTTCTTTCGCCAACTGGCAACTACTGTCTACACTGCAAAGCAACTGGAACGGTCTTAACAGTAAAAGAGTCTGACAATAAACGAAATAAAACGTGTGTCAGTATCAGCAACATGTTTCAGAGATGGCTAGTACTTTAGTCCCTTGCTAACCAGAGCTAAAGGCTAACGGCTGCAGCTTATAGTTCATGTTTATGTAGCTAACATTAGCTAGAGCCTCGAGCCGCTACGGAGCACCTCACCAAGACGAGAGCGGGCGGCAGCTCCGGGGACAGACCCTCATCTGCAGCTGTGGTAATCAGCCAGTAAGAATCCCCAGCTCTGGGGGACCAGACAGCCCCGACTCCCTGCCAGATCAGCAAACTTTCTGTTGCTGCCGTTACACAAGTTAGACTCAGCACTGCTGCTGGCAACCAGCCTGCTGTGACACCCGATGCTGGGGGCTTTCTGCTGAGCCACTACAGCTGCCGACTGAAGGT